TCAAAAAACACATATTTACCTTATCAATTCTTTCCTCATACAAATTCTAGAAATATTTTTTAAAAAAATACTTGAATAACATCTAATTAATAGCCAAATTTACAATATTTATTTACCTCATCCTTCTGATCATTGTTATTATCTTGAATATTTATATTTATATTGCGTGATAAATTCTAGAATCTTTTGGTATATGTAAAAATATTTGAATAATTACTCTTCAGACTAATAAAAAAGTTTAACCTAATAATACTTATAATAATATTTTCTATTTTACTCTTTTAATTATTAGAGTAAGTTGGTTTAATTAATTTAAAATTCTAATTCGAATTAAATCATTGATTTTTTTATCTCATCATTTCTTTCATCATTCTTTTTAAAAAGATTAGTCAATTTAGTTAAAGACCCCAAATTTCAACTGATTTTAGCTACAATAATTAAAAAGTTTCTTATCTGGTTATTAATATTAATGCGTTCATTATTAAGTTGGCACACATTTTCAATGTCATCGGCTTGCATGCTATTTTTTGATTGATTAAACATTTCAGAGACAACATTAATCAATTTATCCATGTTTTGGTCATGTTCCGAGTTGTTACTAACACTTTTATTATATAGTTGATATTTTGAAATATTCTTATTATCAACAATTCTCTAAAAAAAAATTCAGTTATTGTTGCATATTCTGAAATTCAAATTTATACAACAAAAAAAATTTTTTGCTCTTGGTACTTCTAAATTTACGGTAACGTTGGTTCCATTATCTAATAAGATGTCACTAAGCGTAACTGGTTATTGAAAGTAACAGTAACAACTTTTCTACCGGTTGCTTTCCAAATAAGGTTGATCGAATTTCTCAAAATTTCTTTACTTTCTACAATTTCAACCATTGATCTTTTAATGTTACAATAGCAAAATCATTGATGTTTTGAAAGTATTAAAGAATGAGAATCTATATATACTAGTTACCAAAGGAAGCTAAATTATTTATATAATTATGTAATGATATCATTATAAATTTACATATACATATTCTTCAAAAGTATAACGATGATTTCATTACATGTTTCATGAAATTGAATGATTACTCTTTTCTCATTGGTACTAAATATGATATTTTTAAAATTTGTTTAAGAATAAGCAAGAATTTAAAGTATTACAAAAACAGGTGATTCATAATTATGGAATGTTTATACTTTCAGTGATAGTATAAACCTAAGACTCATAAACTAAATAAACTGTATTATTGTACAATATTGATAAAGCCATGTATCTAGCTAATTAATTAGCGTAAAACTTTAGGAGTTTTTACTAATCTGAAATATTTCATATTCTTC